TTCTTTGTTATTTTTTAAAATCAGAAATACTCAGTGTATTAATCATTGTATATTTTACTCATGTAAACCTATTGCAACCTTAGTTGATATTAATACTTTATAAATTATGAATTTTTTGAAACTAATTTCAAATTAATTTTGTTATATTTTTTTAATATATTTTACATCTTTTGATTGTAATTTTTATTTTATCTTAATTTATACAATTTGTTTTGTATGTTTGATATACTTGGGACTTATATTTGTTTTTATTAAGCTTTTTTGTTGGTGATTAACAAAATAGGTAACATAGACTTCAAGTTAATTTTTGTTAATACGAATATTTTTTTGTTAAATTTGTTTTTTATATCAATTTTAAGTTCTTTTATATTGATATTTAAAAATATTAGCCCAAATATCAATTTAGTGAATTATAACATGTTGAAAGCTAAAAAAACATAGATATTTATAAAAATATTATAAAAAGATTATAAAATGCTATAATTATGTTATAAAAATGTTATAAATGTTTATGTTTTTTATAACATTTTTCAAAAAATTGAAACATAAATTTATAACGTGTTGAATGCTAAATTTTGTTTTTTATAAAAATATGTTTAATTTCTCATCATATCATAATAGCTTTAAAATAGTTTAGTTTGATATCTAAAAAGTTCACAATAGAGAATTAAAGTATGACGAGGTATATGCATGTGAGTGTACTTACCATGTCAAATAGTCAGTAGTTGCTTCAATATTTTTGTCAAAAAAACATAAACATAAACATACATATTTATAAATTTTAAAAATGTTATAATTTATATTTCAAAAATTATAACTTTTCTTTCAACATGATAACTTATATTTTTATTTTTATATCATCCTAAACCATTTCTTCGAATTTGGTATGAAAATATTTATATAATTTTTATGCAAATATTTGCCTGGATAGTATATAAAATTATAGCATGAATAAATAATTTGTCTTTGTATACTATCAATCGACTTACTACTGGAATAAAATAATGTAAATAAAATTATCTTCAAAATGGCAAACTATTATTAGAAACTTGTAAGCATTCTTTATAGTTTCCATAGACCTTTAATCACCTACTACAATATTCTTCTTCCTCCGTCTCACCATATTCCCATGATCTCCATAGGCACTCCTTAATTTTAAATTAATTTTGTTTTTATTGTTTTTTGTTAAGCTTTACATCTTTTGATAGTAATGTTATATTTTATTTTAAATTATAATTTTTTTTCTATACTTGATATACTTATGACTTATTTTTATTTTATTAAGCTCTTTTATTTTTGATTTTTAAAATATGTAGCATGGACATCAAGTTAATTTCTTTAATATGAATGCTTTTTTTTGTTAAATTTATTTTTCTATTAATTTTCAAGTTAATTTCTTTCTTTTAGATATTAAATTAATTTTATTTTATGATATTGATTTTTGTTTTGTTAGTTTAACTCTTTTGACATTAAATTTCTATTTAAATTTGAGAGATACTATAATTTAGTTTTTTTTAACATAATTTTTTTTTCTATTTCTAACTTAAGCTTTTTATTGTGATTTTTCCATCTATGAAACGAAATTAATTTTTATTTTTATTTTTTGTCAACTAATTTATAAGTTAGAAATTTTCTTAATCTATATTATAAGTTTTAGCTTTTACGTGATTTTTGTTATTTTAGATTAACTCTCTTGACATTAAATTTTTATTTAATTTTGAAAGATATTATATTTTGGTTTTTTAACATTAATTTATTTTCTATTTGTTACTTAAGTTTTTTTATTTTGATTTTTTTCATATATAAAACGAAATTAATTTTTTTATAAATAGAAATTAACTTTTAATGTTTTAATCAAATTTAACATTTTTGTGTTTAATGGAAACGCTGATGTGGACCAATCATATTTAGTTTCTTCATCTTAATCATACTTAATATTTTTGTATTTAATAAAAAACGTTGATGTGGACCGATCAAATTAAATTTTTTCGTCCTATGTGGACGTCTTCAATGTACTATGCCATCAACTTTTATATATTATAATAGGTATATAATTCGCTACGCTCGAGTTTGTATTAATCATTTTGTTTATTCTTTTTAGCTACCAGCTTTAAAATTATTAAAAATTATATGTATTTATAGAAATTTTTATTTATATACGAGAATTTAATATATAATGTGTAATTTATCCTATTTTTATTTATAAAATTCAAAAAACTATTAGGTAAAATAATAACAATGACACCTATCGAATTATCCAACTTTGACGTACATATACATTTGATTTAGAGAAATATAATCTTGCTAAGATTTTGGTATTATTTTCTGTTTTCCATAGAATTTCTATAGTTCTTTTTTCTTGAAGGTTTATGTGTTCAAATATTTAGTTTTTTATTGAAAGTCTTATTGATGCTGTGTACGACTGTATATATAATCCATGATTCATGTTGATTCACATTTAGTTTTGTTAGGAAGCTGTAATGATCTTGCAAAACTATTTTTTCCTTCTCTATCATGTCTTCCAAGAGTTTATATTTGTATTCAGTTTTCATTGTTTTAATTGTTAAATCGAGTTGTTGTAGATTTTTTTAAATTGATAATTGATAATGGTTACATTTTTATACATGTATTGTTAATTGTTAGTTTTTTATTTAACTTTTAAAATTTTAAACTATATTAATATTTTCTGATTTAATAAATATGTTGATTTAGATTAATCAGATTGAATTTACTTTTTTGTTGGACATAATTTGTTAAATTAACTTTTAATGTTTTAATTATAGTTAATAATTTTTGGTTTAATTAAAAAGCTGATGTGGACCAATTAAATCAAATTTTTGTTCTAATCATACTTAACATTTTTTATTTAATGAATATGCTGATGTAGATCAATCAGATCGAGTTTTTTAATCCCATGTGGACGCCCTCAATGCACTATGCCTTCAACTTTTATATATTATATGATTAAAAAACTGATGTGGACCAATTAAATCAAATTTTCGTTTTAATCATATTTAACATTTTTTGTTTAATGAATATGCTGATGTGGACCAATCAGATCGAGTTTTTTAATCCCATGTGGACGCCTTCAATGCACTATGCCTTCAAATTTTATATATTATATGATGATGATGATGACTTTTGATATAAAAATATACTATATAAATATTAAATCCACTACATATTATTTGAGAAGTAGCATTATTGAAAATAGCTGATTTATCAACAGTAGAGCTAAAGTTGTGCTTTTAATTGATGACATGTAAATGTGACATGTCAAACTTCATAAAATAAATAAAATATTTTGATTGGTTGAATTAAAATTATAGAAATTGTAGAACTAAAACATAAATAAACTAGATTATATTTATAACACTAAAATTAACAAATTTAAATTAACAGAAAATAAAAGTTATTATAATTTCAATTTTGTACATATTTTCATAATTTCATGAAATATAATTACGAATTTTTTTCAATAATATATATATATTATAATTTCATATAAAATGAAAAAATAATACTAAATTATCCAATAGAATAAAAAAATTCTATTTATTAATAGTACTTGAAGTATAATATATTTTTATTTCGGAAAGTTTTTAATTTACAAAATATATTTCATAACATCTAAAAAAGTTTTAAATAAACAAATTATTGAATAATAAAATTTTAAATAAAATACAATCATGATAAAAATAATTTAAAGAATAAAATGTTAAAAATAATAAAAAATAATCAACTTTTATTGAATTGTTTTTAAAAAACTTAATTTTAAATAATTTTTCTTTTCAAAACAATATTTACTAAATGAATAAAGTATATGCTAATTATTATTTTATAATATTAGTAAGATTATATATTTTTTTATAACTTTTATCATCTTTTTATTGTTGTTTTCTAAAATGTACATAACTTATGTTACCATCTCATCTTATCTCTTATCAAATTTTAAATAAAAATAAATTTTAAATCATATGTATATATATACATAAATTTATTTTTATTGTATATCAAAATTTTGAGAACATAAATAAAATAAAAAATAACCGAACAAAAGAATAAATTATAATAAGATGAAACAATATGAATTAGAAATAAAAATAGAAGTATGTAAAAATAATTCTCTCGCACTTTGTTTTACAAAGTTACTTAAAAAACTTTTTAACACATAAGAGCCATATTTCAATTTTTTTATAAATATGCATACAGACATAAATATTAATTGTACATTAGTTGAAGTCACATGCGAACTTTTCTGTGCATGTACTTTGTTAAGATTGATTACAGACTAATTTTTATTTTAATTATTATACAATTTATATTTTTAAAAAAATATTTATCTATTCTAAGTGTAGTGAAGTGGTTGGTATGTCCGCACATGCGTGTCAAACATCTATCCGCTCTTAAGAATAAGTAAAAATGATAAAAACTATTTCAGTTTAATTTGCAATAAATCAAGAAAAATATATACTTAAAATATATTATATATGTATTTGCAAATTCATATTATGTAAGACGCAAAAAGCATATTATAGATTGTGTAAGGAGAAATAAAGCATATTATAGAAATATTCAAAAAATATTATAAAAATTTAATTATTATTTAATATAACTTTTATATTTGTGATTATATATTGTTATAAACATTATAAAAATAAAGTTTTTAAAATACATTGGTTTCATAAAGAAGTTTGTGAAATATTAAAACAATATATATACAAACATACCAATATTTAAAAAAACTAATCAATATTTAAATATTACAATTAATTATGTATATCAAAAAATTATACCCGTACAAATGTGCGGGCATATGCAGGCAACCACTTAGTATATAAATAGTTTATTAACGCCTAGGCTCCGACTAGCTATATATGACCTTTGAACATTGCATTTATCTTTAGAAAACAAGAAAAAAAAATGTTAGAAAATTTACCTTTGAAGAAGAGTAGGAGTAATATCCACAAGTGACAAATGAACAAACCAAATGACATGTGCTCATACTTTGTTTTGGGTATTTTAAATTTATATAAATGCTACAAAAGAGAGTTATGGAACAACAAGTAGTGTGGTATTCTTCATTTCTAATTATTACTGAGCTACCGATTTTTGTTGTTGAACTACTAACACCGATGTTTTGCTCGGGAAATCCGGTGAGGCCAAGAAATCACCAATGACTCCAAGCTCTTCAAACTCACACCAATCCTCTATTCCACTAGTTGCCTCGTGGTTCTCACCGCAGGTTCTTCCTACGATGAAAAGGTCGTAATCGAGAGCCATGGAACGTAGAAGCATTGACGTATCCGCTCCATCTACTATCTCTTGTTCCAAGTAAATCGTGGAACTTTCTTCTTTTAGCATTCCTGAATCGTTGCTTCGCATAACCTCTCTTAGTTCCCTCGTGTCAAGCATTTGATCCCATCCTGTCGCTTCTTTGCTATTTCCTGATGCTAAAAGGCGTAGAACCGTTAATGTTACATTCTCTTGACAAGCCATTCGCTTCGCGAAGGCCAATGCTTCCCTATCGTCTTTTCCTCCCACAAATATTACACAAACCTGTAATCAAATCGCCCCAAAGACTTAGTTTTCGATAACTTGGTTAGTCTTATGCCGCATTCCAAAATAATTCAAAAACTTTCTGCCATCGTGAGACGCCTATTAGTGACCACAATGGATTAGATTCAACCAAGATTGGTTTCTATGTATTTAGTTTCAGTATATATATACATATTAGAAAGATGATAAAAATGTAATTGTGAGTATACCTTAGGGTTTTGTTGAAATTCTTGCTTTTTGCTAACGAGATGTCGCTCGATAAGGATGCCGACAGAGCAAGGAGCTTGTTTCAAGACTTTGAAATTAAGAAACCGGATCATTTCATTGTCGGACACGATAGATGTCCGGTCGAGAGACCAAGTCCGGTGGAAAGGAAGAATGATAAGCGTGACAGCTTTATCGAGAGCGAGCCAACAAATATCATCTTGCATATGGGTAGAGTTTGCGATGCAAGTGAAGGTGTTTATAGAAATGGAACTGCATACATAACGGTTGAAATGTTCGAAAGAAAGGATGACGTTTTCAGAATATTTGTTTCCCGTACCAACTCCGAGTTTTTGGACTTTGTGTGAGATCAAAGTGGGAACGTCTTGACCTTGTAACTCGACAAGGTGAAGCACGTAGCAAGTGAGAGGGCTATCTTCGGATTGATAAGAAGATTCAAGAAGGTTGATCATTGAAGAAATGTGGTCTGGTCTATGGATGCACACAAGAGTCTTTAGCTCTCCAGTGTTCTTCATGCTTACTAGGTTTCTCTTTTGGTAGCACATGAATTGTTTCGATGGGTCGTAAATAAATCCAATCGCTATTGGTATGATCAACGAGTTGAGGACGATGGACAAGACTAGGATCGAGAAGGTGTCTCTGGTTAAAAGCTGTATCAAACCAATCAGAAAAAAAGAATCACTTCTTTTAATTTTTTGTTTATTGAAAAAATATTAATAATCAAGAAGTCAAAAGATGATAGAGAGAGATTGACCTCAAGGCCGTATGAGAAAAGGTAAAAACTTAGTTCGATGATACCCTTATGAGACATAATTAGGGCAAGAATAATGGAGTCTCTCAAGGGCATTTTATACATGTAAGGTACGATCACTGAGACAGAGATCTTCAACAAGAAGATGAGCAAGACGAGAGAGGCAACCGCGAATTTCTTTTCATTACCGCTAAAGAATGTTAAACAATCTTTCCAAGCTGTGATATCAGTCCTGAGCATAGCGGATGACATGAAGAGAGGCAATATGATACCAAAATTGAAACTCTCTAATCGTTCGACCAATGCAGAACCAATAGGAGGTCCATTGGGAATAGCAAGACCGAGAAAGAAAGCTCCAAGTGCAGGAAATTGCTCAAGATCGTTCCAATACATACAAGCTAAACAAACCATGACAAGAATCCCGTAGATATATTTGTCGTCGATGGGTCTCCCTTCTCGTTTGCGTTTGATTACTTTAAATATTAGTGGCCTCACTACCGTAAAGGCAATGATGATATAGAAGATCATCTCGACAAGTAGACTTATACCTTCAATCTTTGACACAAAAGCAAAGGGAACCATTCCCAACAAGAACATGAGTCCAACCATATCAGAGACTAAAGATGAGGACAAAGCAACCCGACCAATAGCCGAATGGTTCATGCCTAGGTCACGCAAGAGCCTCGCGATTCCCGAGAAGGCCGTGAGGCTTTCCATTAGCAACAGTGTATCGTACTCTTCGGTTTTAAGCGGTCGATCCTTGCCTGATTTAAACTTGTAAAGCACTAAACCAACAATTATAGGGACAGTAACAGCTGCAACTCCAGTTACTCTTGCCTTTGCTTCAGCCTTGAAGATTCTCTTGACATCCATTTTCACACCCTTGAGGAACCAAAAAATCATGAACCCAAATGAACCAAGGCATCCAGGAATATCGAGTCTGTTTTTCGGGAACAAGATCTCTTGAATAATCGACTTGTTTCCCGAAATAGTAAGTAGAACGTTCAAGAGTAACCCTGCCTTCAAATGCAAGAAACAAAAAAAGATATATTTTTAGGATTTTGGATAAGCAGATAATAAATGTCAAAAAATGAGAAAGAAAAACTCACAAGCATCATAGAGGTGAACTTTGGAATGGAAAGACCCATTTTCCTGAACAAGATATTGATGATTTGCCAAAGCAAGAACACAATCAAGATGACAAGTTCGAGATTTGGAAGACGATATTGCCAAACGCCAAGACCAGGTCTGTCGTAACGTTCTCTCTCCCAAATACCATCTGAAGACAACTTAGCAGGATGCTCCTCGCATATAAACCCATCTTCTCTTACAGCTTCACCATACCAAGCCATATCAAATATCCAATTAACGTCAGGTGGCGGCTGGGACATGTTGGTGATGCCGCCGCTGCCAACAAGATCTGCCTCCGGCATCCCAAATTGTCCCGGCATCCCAATTGGTTCCGGCATCCCAAGTTGTTCCGGCATCCCAAGTTGTTCCGGCATCCCAAGTTGTTCCGGCATCCCTAGTTGTTCCGGCATCCCTAGTTGTTCCGGCATCCCTAGTTGTTCCGGCATCATCTCCATGATTTTATGATCTTATGAATAATTCTTGTGAGAAAAAAATGGGGAACACGACGAAGAAATGTGGTGGATTCCTTTTGACAATGCAAAAGAGAAACCATATGTACACAAGGGCACACAGATGTATATGCTGTTAATAGGTTATGCCGTTTTGAAAAACACAATTTGGACATCTATAGACATATGTAGTTTTGAAAGGTTTTTGAGTTGTATCTCATCCTATAAATAGTAGATTAAGTTAAACCATAGAAAAATGTCAAACTAAAAAATCACCATGAAAAAAGGAATTTAAAAAAAAATGACTACCATTTAGTCCAATTTTTTTTGTTAGTTAGAAATACCGTATTGCCTTTTCTATGAACGATTTATGTTTTTGGGTGTTGAGTTACAACAGAAAACAAAGAGGATAATATCTGGAAGATAAAAATAGATTTGTACATGCTTGAATCTTGTGAATTCTCTAATGTTTAATACCTCCTCTGTTTTTATTTAAGTGTCGTTTTAAATATTTTCACCCAGATTGAGGATTTTGATAAATAGACTATTTTAACCTTATAAATTATATTAATTAACAATTTAGTTACTGTAGTTTCTATATATTGTACTTCCTCCCTTTAAAAAAAGTATCATTTTAAAGTTATTACTTTTGTTTTACAAAGAGTATCACTTTATATTTTTAATGCATAATTTTAAATAAATATCCAGTTTTAACTTTTGTATTTTATTGTTTTAATTAGAGAAAGAATGTTATTTGTGTGTAAACAAGAGGCAAAACAGATTTTTTATTGATTTTTTTTAATTTGTGTGAAATGTGTCAAAGTGACACTCTTTATGAAACATATGACGTATTAATTTAGCTGAGGTTATATTTGGAATTAGTTTATAAAAGTTGAACTGGAAACTGAAAACGATAAATATTTTGATAAAATAACAAAAGTTTAAAACAACAATTAAAGTATAACGGAAGGAGTATTTTTTTAGGTCATTTGTTTAAATAATTGTTTTGGCAATTTCAATGTGAAAAATAATTTTATTAAAAAATTGTAAAAGAAATTCACTAATTTGCTTTCAATATGCTGTTAGTCTATTATTAGTCTACTTTCAGTTGTTTGATAAGTTAGTGTATCGTTAATCTGTATTTAGTCTGCTATTAATCTGGAATAAGAAATAGTTAGAAAGGTAACACTGATATTCTAAAATATTTCTTAGAAGGATCTATTTTATAATTTTCCTTAGAAGAGTCTATGTTTAATATATTTTTTTGGATCATTTTCTCTAGTTTTTAAATTTATTAAATTTCTATTTATTTTAGTTTTTAAAAAATAAAAAATCATATTTTTTAAACCTTTTGTTTTCTTTAAATTTTAATATTAAATTTGTTTATTTTTTGAAAACTTAGTATGATCTTTGTCTTTATGGATTTGATCATTTTCATATTATTGCGATTTGTTGCAACAGTTTTAGGATAAAACTTAAATTTATTATTCGAAAATCTGGTTATGCTATTTCTTCCCATTCATTTCTTTGATTTGGTGCTTTTAACATTAGTGATCCCCTTAAAAGTATCTCTTTCATTACTATTTACACTTTCAGCAGAATTTCTCAAAAAATAATAACTAATAAATAATATTATTATTTAAATAGATATAAATTTTAATAATGTAATAATAGATTATTCTTTCAAAATTTAAGAGATCCGATCTATTAATATAATATTAGTTTTATATAACTATAAATACTCTATAAATTAAGTAAATAATAATGAATAACTGTAATCTATTTTTTTATTTGGTTTAACTACATAATTGCCATTTATCAGAGAATTTTATTAGCAACATAAAATATAGACAACACTTTTTACCATCTGTCCAGAAACATTGTTTATCATTTTCTGAAACTACTGTTCACAGATGGCAACACTATTATTACATAATTAACAAGTTACACCAATCAGCATATCATAAAAATAGCATGGTTAACAAGTTATTATATTGTCGAAAATATAAAATTGATCTGTTAATTAATCTTATCTTATTATAAAATTAAAATGTTCATTAAGTTATCATATATTATTAATCATATTAAATATGAAAACATGAAAATAATCATATTAATCTGTTATTGAAATTTTTTATGTCAACTGATTATCACATTATAGAAAATATGTGTCATTGTTAAGTAACTTTGTTAACTTAGAAAAATTATATATGATGTTATACCAACAACAACTTAACTAATTTTGTTATTGCTAATTCGAATCTTAGTTGTTGCCATCCGTGTTATTATTATCATCATGTAATTGTAACTATTGTCTACCATATTACTGTTACATCCACTACTACCATTGCCACTGCTGTCACTATTGTTGTTACCGCTGTCGCCATCATCATCATCGCTACCAAAACTATGTTTTACCCTTCTTCCCCTCCTTCCTCTCTTCCTTCCCTTCTTTCTTCTTACTCTATTTTTTTGGGTTCTTCTTTTCTTTTTCTCCTTCTTTTCTTCTTTAAATATAAAATTCGAAAAGAGAGAAAAGAGAAAAAATAGATTAATGGTAAATAATATAAAATGATTATCAATCATATTGTAAAGTTTTGTCACATCTAACACCTCCAAATTTTTATAAATAGAAATTATAGTACTCATTTGTAATACATACAAGAGTAATTAACACAAGCCGAAATCTCTCCTCTTCACATCTTTCTGATTTATTATAATATATTAAATAATATTTTATAACACGTTTTAGCACGAACGTTTCTTGATCTATACTCGAAAGATAGATCTATATCCAGAAGGTAAGATTTATCTGGGTTCAATTTATTTAAATTTTTTATTATTTATGGAAAGATAGGCTCTACCTTCTCCGTTTATATGTTATGTCGGGATGAAAGGCTCTGTCTCCTTCGAGCTGATCATTGTGGTAGGTGCTGCCTACACGATCAAATAATCATACTGTTTATTTATTATGCCGGGATGGTAGGCTCTGCCTCATCCGAGCTGATCGTTATGGTAGACTTATTCCTTCACGATCAAAATAATCACATGGTAGACTATGCCTCCTTAGATCATATTTATAGAGTGAAAGATCAAAACACTCATTTTTGTTTATTTATTTATTATGGAACTGGCAATTATATGGTAGGCTCTGCCTCTTCATATTGTTTTAATTATTGTCTTTTATTATGCTATTACCATGCTCAAATTTTTTTAACTAAAGTTTCTTTAAATTAAATGGGTTAAGTTTTTGTTATTCAGTAATAATAGGAGTGTTCGTGTGGCAGCCGCAGGCGGCAGCAGGAGATCAGCGGTGGCGGCAGCGGCAACATTACCGCAGCTTGATGTACGTTTGGCAGCAGCAGCCGCAGCCTCAGCAAATTTATTTTTGTCTGTTTCATAGCCGCATGTCGCAGCCGCAGGATGCAGCCGCATGACACATAATCTTGTACGTTTTGCAGACTCTCCGACAAATTTTCATAAATTCATATTTTATTTTTGTAAATTTGTATAATTAGATTTTTAATCAATAAAATATAATTTAAATATATTTATATCCATAAGAAATATCATATTTAGTTAGTAATAATTTTTAAGTTAAATATATACCTATAACAACTTATAACAACTTATTTTGTGATAAATCATAGAATAAACTAAAATAAAAGTAATACACTAAAATAATTAGCTGAAATAAAATAAAAGTACAACACTAAGTTATAAATAACCAAAGTTATAAAAAAATAATTAATCAAAGTCATTATCTAAACTAATTAATAAAAAATCATAAAAAGTCTTAAACAAAAATTTAATAAGGTAAACGACCTCTATTACATTCATTTGTAATATTATCACGCAAAATTTACATCGCTCTATCACCGGTCGGCTCATATGCAATATGTCCACCATGATCTTCATCACTATCAGCTTCTGCTTCTCCTCCTTCTCCTTGTCCTTCTTCTCCTTCTCCTTCTCCTTCTCTTGTTGTGCTTTGCCAATGTATAAAATCATGGTCTTCTCGATCTGAATCACGTATGAAATTGCGTAGTGTCATTATCACCGTTACAAGCTTAATCCACTTGGTCAGACCAAACTTTGGATGCTTGCGATCTAAAATCCTGTATTTTGCTTTCCATACTCCAAATGTCCTCTCCATCACTGATCGCAAACTTGAATGCTTTCGGTTAAACAACTCTCGTGCATTTACTGGTGGTCCTCTTCTAGCAAATTGACTAAGATTGTATCGCATCCTACGATGCAGACCAAGATATCCTGTCCTAGTGGGATATCCGGAGTCAACTAGGTAGTACTTTTCACTAGAAGGATGTGGGAAAAGGGGCTCATTCCTCTCACAATGAGTCAAGACTTCATGTGCTTTACCAGAAACACCGACATATGCATATATGAACTTCATATCGAAGTTACATATAGCGAGGACATTCATTGTGGGTTCATGTTTTCTACCTTTATATGCTTCTACGGTTTGACTTGGAGGGCAGACTGGGACATGAGTTCCATCAAGTGCTCCAATGCAATCTTTGAATTAAGGCATATATTTATCATCATTCTTCAAAACAGGGTTTACTCTTGTAAACTCACCTTCTTGTGGTTTTAGCGTATCCGCTGCAAACTTGAGGAGAACACTCAAAACCTTATCAAGCTTCCTTTTCACAGTATCCAGTGACCGTTGATACCTGTCGGTTATATCCCGCATAGTCTTTTTCTGACCAACCACCTCAAGAAACATTACAACAGATTCCTCAACATAGACATTTTCTGTCTCTTCTAATCCATATCGCCTAGTTAGCATCTTACATAAAGCTCCAAATGTTCATTGGTTCATTCGAAGAATGTCATAACACTGCTGATCTGATCCATGCATAAGTTGCTGAACATGACGCTAACCTGCTCCTCGATCTGTTCTATTACTCAATCTCTCACTAGCAAGTGAATCTAGCAAACCAAGTTCATCATCATAATCATCATCATCATCATCATCATCATCATCACCCAAAATCCATCTTCTAACCATCTGCAAACATAATATAATCTATCATTATTTTCGGGCTCAAACATAAGATATTCATCATCAAAACGCATTTCAAAAACACGTTTAACAAAACATCATCATCAATATTTTCAACTTAACGTTTAAGAGAAACATTCAA